TAGTAAAGCTAATGACCTAATGTCTTCTGGGGAGGTTACACTGTAGTGGTATTGTACCTGCATAAATCTTTTCCTCTTTCATTTTACAGTGCAGAAGTAATGAGGGTTGTTAACAGGAGATATGGTGCTGGCAAGATTTTTATTCAGCTTTAATTGTTCTGAAATTTGACATCTAAAATGGTCTTGATTCTTTTTTAGTATGATGATGTTCCTACAGCTGGTACAAGTAAAGCTGTCTGGTTCTGCAAACAGAGTCCTGATGATTTCCATGCTGATTACCTTATCCTTTGTTCCTGTCCTGTCAAATGATTGTTATTAATTAATTCTGACTACATTTAAGGAAATGTTAACTGTATGCATTTCAATACACAGAAGTCTGAATAGTAAAAAGCTGTATACCTTTGTATTTCCTGCATGTATTATGGTACATATATAATTTCAGCAGAAATGCATTAACAAACACAGTTAAAAAGAAGTGGATATAAAGAAAGCTATGTTGTACAGTTGAAATAAAGTGGGTCTGAGAAGCTTAGCTTTTTCATTTCTTTTCTTTTGAATATTTATCTTTGTATGTTCATTTCTGTACACTGATTTCTGTGTTACTTTTCTGGCACAAAAGTGCTCCTGGGTGTGAAAATGCATACATCTCAGAGTCCCCACATAACCATTGTATCCAGCAAAAGGGGAGCAAAAAGGAGAGTCTGTTTTTTGGCACATCTTCCAAACTCTACTGTAATAATATAAGAAAAATATCATAGATACCAGTGAGTGTGTATGTGTATACCTATGAAGTCAACACACACTCAAATGGGTGTGATTAATTCTGAAAATAATAATTGCTTTCAGAAGAGGCTTTGAATATTCTGCTAAGTGAATTAGTCTGAGGGTAGTCACTTGCATTTTGCAGTGCCGTAAATTTTTAGTTGTCAGGGATTAGCTTCTAGCTTTTATAATTTCTTATCTGTGGCAGTCTTGCCTGCTGTTCTGAATTTATTTTTATTTCCTTCCTATATTACATTTTGTTGCCAATTTGTTAGATTTTTCATTTCTAAGTAAAGCTTTCAGTCTCATGCTTTCAGCAAATAAATTTTAAAAGTATATTGGCTTTAATGATCTCATTCACTTGGGGAGTTGTTCTTTGTGTTCTAGAAATGATTTGTGTGGTCTAACTGAACTGGTCTAACTATATTTAATACTAACTTGATTAACTCTTCTGTGCTGTTTTCCAGCTAGCGCATAGACTCAAATATACCCACAACATGCTTCCAGTGACTCCACATGCTACCATTGACTATAGTAGGATTTGCAAGCAATATATCTAATTGCACATTTCATTATGTAGTCAATAGGCATGTAAGTTAATTGCACAGTTTTACTTTCATTTTAGGGATACAATAAAAATTGATTTTCCATCCTTCTGACATTTGCTAACTGAGCAGCACAAGACTGCTTCAACACAGATGAAGGTCCAGTGTTTTCAGTAACAAACATTCCCACCACTTTAATGGTGGAACCAGTTTTTTGTCATCATGTCTAGTTAGGTGATGTACTTGCAAATACAGAGCTGTATTCTTCCCTCTTCTTTGAAACGCACTCTTAGTAAAGCTGTGGATTTTCCCCTTCTTTTCCCTCCTTTTCTTGAAAGGCCCAGACTGGTTGTTAATGCTAGCAGCAACAGCAGGGAAGTGCATTTGGTGCTGTGGACACCTCTCCACTTGATTGATATAAATGTATATTAGAACTGTTCTCAGAAATTGCTTTGGGGCTCCCTGAAAACAATCAGGTTAAAAGCATAGATTGCTCATAAAAAATCTCACATACCCATTAAACAGTCAAGATACCATGTCTTTCCAGCTCTTCCTTCCTGTCAGGATCCCTTGACTGGTTCACTGGCTTAGCCATATAAGCTTTTCCTCTGTTAGCCCACCTTTCTCGGCACTTTGGTACACTGGCGTTCTCTGAGTTTGGCCAGTTGGCTACAGCTTCCCTGTGGCAAGCAGTCTCCACTTGCCATAGACACAGCTGACATACTTTGTGTGACTCTATACCCATGAGGCAGGAGGTCTAAACTGTCAATATGTTTATTGCTTTTGGCAGATTACATACAGATATGGAAATTAGATCACTTGACAATTCATAGCAAATGACGTGCATATTGCTACTTGTGATTTGGTACCTTTTCCAACTTCTGAGTCATCTTATCCAACACAATAAGAGGTAATGCTACCTAACCCAGGGGCAAACAGACATGACTCTGTTCTTCTAGTTAAGGTGGAAGATCTGAGAGATGTTTTTGCTATCTATCTCTGTTTAAGCACTGAAGATTGTAAGAGAAGCCCTGAATAGCATTGATAATGTTCTTCATAGGGCAGCTTAAGAAAAAGCGATAAGAACCAAATCCAGGCTTTCTTGTGCCCATGTTGATCTCTCGAAGCCAGAAGAGAAGATAATATGGGACTGCACTGAAACCTCCAGCCAGGTGACTGATTGCATCTATGGCTGCAGGATTGCTACAGTGGCTGAAGATGATTGACATCCAAGTATGTCCTGTTCTTCACAGTAATAAAGAGTTGTGTTCCAGAACCTCTTGGTTTAACACCATTTGTCCTTAGATGTGTATACACCTCCCAGAAGTGTATAAAGAAGCTGCAAAGCTGTGGGATCAGCTGTCAGTACAGAGGGGAAAGGGAGTCAGTGTATGTGCTTGAAGGAGGTAGCTATGATGACTAATTAATGGCACTTTCCCCTTTGAGTTAGGTAAAATTAAAACTGTATGGTTTTAGTTAAACCTAGGTGTAATCAGAGAAGATGGTCATTTGGATCTTGAGTCTGGATAAGTTCCCGTTGATGTTAGCAACCAGCAGAAAAGTTTGGAACTGAAATGCTATCTTGGAAGATTTTTCAGAACTGGGGTTTGGGTTTGTGCATCTGTTTGTGTGAAGATCATTGTTGGGTTTTAAGAGGTGATGTGACCAAAACAATGATAAAATATGATCTCAGGCATCGTTAGTGATCTTTGAGGTCTCTGCAGACCTGTGGTCCTTCATGGACAAACTGATGTTGGAAACCATCTGTCCTCATATATGTGCTATTGTGGTCACTGAAGTCCTGTGAAGTTGTTGCATGGACTGCGTGGCTGAATGTGGTAAAGCACATCCAGAGACATGACTGAAGAAAGTCCTAACTGGCATATCCAAAGAAAGTTAGGGTGGAGTGAGCTGGATTTAAAAAGCTGTCTTAATTACTTTTTTCACAAAGACAAATAGACTTGCATAATCTAGTAGTTAGGTGTTTGCTGATTTGTCTCTCAAAATAACCAGTGTTTGGGAATAAATTGTGGCAGACATACTGACATTTTCATGCTAACTCATGTGCTTTAGGCTATGCTGCACTACAAATTCTTACTGACATGCATTGGGGTGATGCCATTAATCATAAGCGGTAGACTTACATTGTGTTGATTGCCAAATGAGTGGCAAAACCATTTTTGCCACATGCTGTCATGTTGCAGGAAAGCTGAGTAAGTTACACCCGTGAGCTGGAGAGCCCTGTGATAAATTGCACTTTTGAAGCAGCTTGCAGTGTGCTAATATGCTAGTTGTCTAAATAGCTTTTAAAAGGTGTCATCCTAAAACAAAAACCCACAAACCCAACCAATAATCTGCTTTTCCTCAAAATGTGACCTACTAAGCCAAAATCATACCCATGTATGGCAAACAATAATGGGTTAGGAGAGGGGACTTTGACACTCATTACAACTAGAGATGGAAACAATATGCAGTCAAAAATCCAAGAGGGCACATTTCCAATAGTATTAAAGTACTTGTTCCTAGACACAATAGACCATGAGATATTGGATCTTAATGTCCTAGCATTCCTATATGCAAGAATGCTATTTCAAGACAGATTAGAAAGCTCTGAGAATGTTTTAATGATTGTTCTCCTTTCACTGACATTAGTTCTGGCTGATTTCTTAAAAGCACTCTCAGGCAGTTGTTTAAATAGTTGTCCTTCAGCATGAGTGCGTATAGTAAATACTGGCAGGTTTTTTGAGGAAGCCTTAACCTGTCAGTACAGATACCATGACTAAAAGGTAGTCTCTTCCCTATTTCTGCTAGTTAAAATCCCCTCTTTCATGCCCACTTACCATCAGTGTCTCCATGCCTGTCTAAAACACAGGTCTTCTGCAACTAGGTGCTCGCTTGAGTGTAACAGTGGCATCTGGCTAATGTATCACAGCTACCAAGCATGCCCAGGTCATGGAGATGCTTTGAGCCTTGCACTTCCTAGCTGATGGCTGGGATGCCAAGACCAGCACTAAAAACCTCTCCTAAGGATAGAACTTGGACTTGGCATTATTGCCTATATCTCAGGCTTGTATTCACTGGGGCTGTGAGTACAGCTGTTTTCCATCCAAAGCTGAATTTGTAAGACTTGGGTACGCTGCCTCTAGAAGTCTGTTGGCTTGTGTGATTGTTCCTGAGCTATCAGCAAAAGTCATGTGTAGATATACTGTGTGTTTTGTACAGTCCTCACTGAGACCTGTCCTGCTACAGCCTTACTTCTGTTCGTGTCCATGCTAGCCTGAGTATACCTCTTCTCTGCAGATGAGCTGAGGTCACTGCTCCAGACTGCAAGAGAAAGATGCTAGAGCTTAAATACAACAAACACAGAGTAGTGCAACCATCCTCAGCTCTGGCTTTTACAGGGCTGCTCACTGCTCATGACATTCGGAGCTTGCTTTCTTAGCCAGTGTAGATGATTTAAACAGGTCTGGCAGCCAGGCAACCTTGAAAGCCCTGAAGTCAAATTTTATTTTCCCTTTAGAGAGATTTTAAGAGTAAAGCACAACTGGTGGAGCAATGGAAAGCTTTCAAAGGGACATGCGTGTTCCTCTTCAAAAGGTGCATCCTATCAACAAAGTCTTTCCTATTTCTAGGCCAAGGTGCTTTAGAGGTGCAAGCTTTTCCATATTCTACAATATTTCATATTTTACAATTGCCTACGGCCATGCCACCCTGAGAACAGCTGATCTCATCTGATCTTGGAAGCTAAGCAGGCTTGGGTCTGGTTAGTACTTGGATGGGAGACCGCCTGGGAACACCAGGTGCTGTAGGCTTAAAAATCAGGGACCTTATTGATTTTTACAAGTATCTAAAGGGTGGGTGTTAAGAAGATGGGGCCAGACTTTTTCCAGTGGTGGCCAGCGATAGGACAAGGGGCAATGGGCACAAACTAAAAGACAGGAAGTGCCAACTGAAGATGAGGAAAATCTTCTTTATTGTGAGAGTGGCAGAGCACAGAACAGGCTGCACAGAGAGGCTGTGGAGTGTCCTCTGGAGATGTTCAAACCCGCCTGGATGCAGTCCTGTGTAACTTGCTCTAGGTGATCCTACTTTGGCAGGGGGGTTGGACTAGATGATTTCCAGAGGGCCCTTCCAACCCCTACCATTCTGTGATTCTGTGATATAGTTCATAACTTACACTGTTAGAATTTTAGGAGTTATTTTCACTCATTTGGGTGAATAAAAGCTTAAGCATGTGAAGAAATTACCCCAAGTTGTCAAGTTTAGCTAATCTATGGTTATCTACTGGTGTCAAAATGGTAGCGTTAGGTTTGTTTGCAAAGTTGTCAGACTACCTGCATTGGCTAAAGGAGCTCACAGACACAGTGACCATGGTTGTCTGTGTAGTGCAGTCCAGAGGTTATTTTTTAAATGGCAATGTATACCTGAAGGCTAATAAGTCATCTTCATAGTTTCATAAATATGTATACCTCTAGTCACACCTGTGAGTGAGCTAAGCTGTTGGAGAAAATGAGAGTAAAAATCAGACCAAGCTGCCTCACAGCCCTACCTTGCCTGTCCATTGTTCTGAAAACTGAAATGCAACACCTGTGAGGGCAAACCACAGTGGAACAGGGTAGTTTTAACTGTGCCACAGCTCTCGTACAGGTCTCATGCCCAGGTAATGGCAACTGCTATTTGAAGATGACCTGCTGTTGCCTGAGCTCAGTTTCCATCTGCTTAAACAAATGGCAGTCCAGGAGGGAGGGCACCTGTCCTTTTAATCCATGCACAGGCTGCCACTGCCTGCCCCAGGTTTACCACTGGACCGGTGACTGTCGCTTCTGTGAGATGGAAAAACTACCTACCACTTCCTCCCCTCCAGTAGTACTGATGCCCTAAACCACTAAGGACTTCAAATCAGGCCTTGTTTGTTTTTTTAATCCTCAGTGGAATGATCCCAAGAGATGTTACAGGCACAGCAGAGAGCTGCTTTCTTGCAGTTCTCCCCAAATATGCGGTAGCAAATCCTGCTCTTGCAACCTTACCATGAGCTGGTGGGTTGTGCCTGCTTCTGGAGGACACAGAGAAAAATGTGACTATATCCAACTGTCTCTATTTCCCAGGGATGACAGAAGTAGTAAATTTTACAATACCTTAAATTAGCCAAAGAAAAGTTCACTTCACTGAATTTTATTCACTGTGAAATTGCTAGGCATTATTTAAACATACATAACACTTCAGAATTGTGCACTGACAGGAGCTGATCCATCTAGGAACTCCTGTATTAATGGCAACTTCCAAAGAAAGGTACAGATCTGGTGTGAGAAAGTACAAGGCTGTTGCATGTTAGGTAAGCTCTGATTTTTATACACCCAATCCTTTTTTCCTTTTTTTTAAATTTTCTTTTCTTTCTTTCTTTCTTTTTTTTTAATTTTTCTGAAAAGAAAATACTCTGACACCCACACAATTCCTTTACAATAGCACTGGAAATGTTCTGTTCTATTTTGCATTGCTGGCTGCCATGCTGAGTATTTCCTGCAGTTTTTTTTATGCTAAGTATATTTTAATGAAATTAATGATTTAACCACATTGCAGTTTGAATCAACTGACTGGAAAGAATTTAGTTTCCATATCTGCTTTCCTTAATCCTGGTGCATAAATGGGTATTTCAATTTTTGCAGTTCAGTGGCAGAAACCTTGTATTCAACCATCCTTGGCCTCCATTTGAATGTAGGCAAATTTTGATAGTAAGTCGTGGTCCTGACTGAGACCTGCCAAATGTTGTACAAATCAAGAGGCAGTTTCTACTTTAAAGAATGTATAATCTAAAGAATCCTGTCAAAATGGATTTAATTCTCATTTTTCATTGCCTTTGTTTCAGAATCTATTGTACTATTAGCTGGTTTTGTTTGTAGAAGGTTACTATCAGCTCATTCACCTCGGGTTTAGTTCTGGGCATTGCACGTTTTTCATAAACCAAAGTTTCCGTAGTCAGGCTTGCAGAGAATTAAAATGTGCCTGTTTTAAAAGCAAGTTTCTGATTTATGTGATTAGGGAGACTGTCTTGGAAGTGACATTCTCAGGCTAAAAACTGAGAAGAACCCAAAGTTCATTGACACCATCTATGATATTAGGACCTAACTTGTGATTTTTGAATGCTTGAGTTTTGTGGTGCTGAAGAAAACATATACAACAAAAGTTTATACTGCTGTCCTGAAAATGAGCTATGCTAGAAATCTAAATAATGAAATGCCATCAAAAAGAAATAGAATAGTAATTTAATTTAATTTAATTTGTTACCAGTACATGCCACCACTGTTGTTAACCAAATTGTGACAGCTGACACTCTCTTGGGCACTAGGGGGGCTGTGGAAATCCCCCTGTTCTGTGCATGCAGCCTTTCTGGGTCTAGTAGCCCTACAGTTTATTTTGGAAAAAAGCAGAAAAGTGACAAAAAGGTAGGGACACCTAATGAGTAGGAATGGCTTCTCAAGTGGAATGGATATTTTGTTGTTCCAATTTTACACCTGTAAAGTTCAGATTTGCTGGGGATCCTATCTAGCAGCATGATTACATGTCCTTGCATCTGCCTTGTTTATCGTGAGTGCAGCTTTGAAGGGAGGTGGAGTAGGGAAAATTTTAAGCTGGCTTTGTGCCTCTTGATGCCATCTGAGGAAAAGGTATTGCTCTACATGAGACTATGTTCCAGAAAAAAGATCATACCTATTTATAGGAACAAATAATTAAAATGAATATCAACTCAAGTTGGCAATCTAATATCTCCTCTGTTATTCCAAGAGCTATTTAACTTCCAGGATTTGTGAAAATACAGCTCCAACATGAAAATGTAATTTCAAACTGTCAAGCTCTGAGGAGTGTTGCAGCAGATAAAGGCTGTACAATAGCAACATCTATGCTCAGTTCAGTTCAGGCTATGGACTGGCATTCTGCCCTTATAGATACAGTGACGATAAGAACAAAAATGTTAGTTAATTAATTACTCGGCATGTAAGATTACTGGCCTTGACGTTTTACCAGTCTTTCAGATATCTTTTCATTTCTAGGATCTACATAAACTGCATCTAAAATACTATAATTCTTGTCTCCTCTCCATGAAAATTGCTTATGAAGCACAGAAGGTTGTTCTAAAGTGCAGGAGCTGCTCCCTGTGAATCACTTATTAATCACAAGGAGCTCTGACTGCTTGGTTTAGCTCTACAAGGATGGGAAGTCAGTCAAGTACAATTGTTCCAACAAGCCTTTGCAGGGCACGTTTTTCCACACACATCTTTTCTAACCCACTGCATAAGTAATTCAAGGCTACATGGGAATCTGAGACACCCTGCCCATTATTAATGTGCTCAGGCCACTGCTTTCTAGACCTTCTGAACTAGAAGCAAGAGATGATATCAGTGTTGTGGCAAGGCAAGAGACCATACACAAGTAAAGAATGTAGGTACAGCTGGGGAAGGAAATTCAAACTTGTGCAGCAGGTCAGAGTAAAAACTTGTATGACCAATGGGAAACAAGAGGGTACGTTGATATAGAGCTGTACTGATGCAAAGGGGATATTTTCCTCTGTCTAGGAATTGGTTTTCTCCTTTTTCACATCCGTTTTCTGGGAAAATACAAACAATTCATAAATGGAGAAGATAATTTATTTGGAATATTTGCAGATCCAGTTCTTGCAAAGCTTTCTTCCCTTTGTATCTTTGTTGTACCATTTCTCTGCCCTTCTTCTTTTGTATTCTGTGTCCGCAGGGTCAGGTAGAGATACCTGAGCTGACTTTAATGATCTAGGAATGCCACTGAAAGCAGCTCAGTGTCAGCAGCCCAGCACGCCAGCCTGGCTCCCTCATTCTGCTAAGAGAAAAAGGCCTGTCCTTTACCTCCAAATAAGTGTTGATAACATAAAGCCTGAGGGACATGATCTGTCTCTGCAGGGTTCCCAGATCAGGCTCTGCTTGGTCTCTCACTTCCTCAACCACGTCCGCTCTCGGTCTCATATGCTCGCACCTTCTTTTTTTGTCTCTTTGGGGACATGCATGACAGTAGGGCTAAGAATACTTTTGGCCGAGAGCTTCAAAGCTACCGCAGGAGACAGATGCATCATTCTCATTGAAGTTCATGGGAGCTGTGTGTCTAAATTCTCCATGCTGCTTGGAGAGTGGCTGATCTACCAATACCACTGGAGTACTGCGATCCAAATAACATGCGCGATCAACGATATCAAACTGACGAGCTGCTGATATTATCCTGGATGCTTGTTCAATTCCTACTTTGGGTTGCCATGTGTAGCCTGGCGTGGCCTGGCTTTGTGCTGTCCCCTGCCTTTCCTGTCCCCTGCCTCACCTGATCTGCCCTCTGCGCCTGCCTGCTTGCCAGCTTCCGCTCTGGAGGAAGATCCTCCCTTTGCCCAGCAAAGCCCTAGTGCAGAACTGCTATGCATGGGGAGATCTAGGGGCTCAGAGTATCCTGGGAATGGAAAAGCTTTCTTGAGGTGATCGCATGTCCTTGAGATCAAGGGTGAATATCAGGCCTCCTCATGCTGCAGTAGTCATCTCTGTCGCTGTGTAGTGTCCCTAAATGATCTTGGTCTCGCAGGGGAGAAGGGACATGAACAGACTCCTGCCTTGCTCTTCCCAGAGGGTCAGTGATGTTTTGATGCCTTTTTTGGTATAAGTAAGAGATTGGCATGGTATTGCCCATCACTAGTCTGCATATAATTAAACTGCTTTCAGTTTTCTAACTGCTTTACCTGTGCATTATTCATACAGTCATTATGCCTAAAACAGCTGGAAGATTGTATTTGTTATCATCACTGATCCCT